GGGTGCTCTACGAGGTAGTAAGTTGAGGTAGGTAAAGTATTCTACTCACAATGACCTTAATGTTGATCGGCATGAAGAAGAGTTGCCCCCACTGAAGAATTCATAGAGAATACGGGAAGTATGTTACAAGTGGCAGCCGCGGTGCCACTGAACGTTTTCACCTATCTACTACCCATAGGCGCGCCCGGTAGTACCCATATTTACCGTCTCATGCCGTCTATTATTCAAGCTACGTTGTATCAAGTTTAGTAGGTACAAAGTAACGAACCTACACGTTATAAAAGAAGCATTAGACACCTAAAAGCCCCCTCCCCCCAATTCATTTGCTTTTGGATGCTTAACAGGATGTTTCTGAACCAATATATTTTGATAAAGCAAAAATTAATGGAACTTTTTACAGTTACTCTCTAAGAAAGTAACCATAGATATTGTTATCAGAGCAAATACAGGGGATTTTTCTAGCAAGATTGCGCAGCTGCCTATCATTCGAAGATTATGTGAACAGGACATGAGAACACACTTCTACAAAAATGGATTGACGGTGTAGGACCTATCCCCTAACAGCCCAAAACTCTACATCAGCCCCCATTCGTTTCTTTCTTGTGAAATCAGTCTGTTGTTATCGCTGTCCAGCTACCATCACTAAAAAAACGAAAAAGAATCTCATAATTGCATCTGCAATTTATTCCTGAAGTAAGCGAAGTAAGCCATAGAAAACCTTGGTTTGACCGTTGTACTTGAGATGTTGGTTGTGATCATAATACGGAGATTTGGAAAATGTGAAGTTGTTGGACAATAATTGATATTTAAAATTGAACGAATTCATTCAAAAGTGAGGATTCAATGTTTCCGCCTTGTAATTTTCCAAAGCCGGTCCTCGGTGGTAATGAAACACAGAACAAATTCAGAAATTTGGCGATCAGTGAAGGAACCACTTTGAATGCGCAGCATCTCTTTTTTCGAGTAAACATGCAGATAATTTTTTGCATTTGATACGATCAATCCAGTTAGCCGATCTGAACGAAATTTCAGGTGCTCTAATCAGAAGCCTTTCCGAACGGGTTCAAGCTGTAAGATGTCCAAAACCGGTTTTTCTTATAAACAAATAGCAAATGTTCATTCCAAATGAATAAGGATTGATTCGCACGCGATCAGAAATACTGTGCGTGTAAAAATGCCGACGCAGATTAGACAACATCTCCACCATCGAGGTTATCCTGTTTTGCGAAATAATAGTTAATCATCCCGATTTCCTGCAAAAACCAACTTCTGAATTTTGAGCTTTTGATCTGGCCTTTTTTAGGCTCCGATTACAAGCGCGATTTTCATTTTCTAATATACAAATATGCATAATTTTCGACACTGAATCCTTATTAAGTTTATAGCTCATCTTGTTTCAGCCCTTATTTCTCACAGTTTAATATTCCAGTTAATCACGATTGCGTTCCTTCAGTTGGTCCGTTTGGTTTGTTTCGTGAGGCGGAAATTCACAATCCAGTGTGCACTTTTGTTCTGTCCGAAACTGCCCACTGTTTTTGTCGCGCAGACCGGAAACGTATTTTCGTTGTGGAACTCATACGGAACACATTCTTACTTGATAGTGAAAATCTCTTCGCCGTGTGTACCCCATGAGCCGCATGACCAGTGCTCATCTTCCTTCTTTTTGTATCCGCGTAGCTATCAATCTGGATAGGAACTAATGCGGTCGGCATGCTCATACTCGAATGAATTCATGCAATTCGTACGGTTTGGAAATTGTACACGTTCTATTGTGTTCTAGTGATTCGGTGTTCATTCTCTTCAGATTAAACCTTCCTTAGCTTTCTTGCTTCTAAACAGCCGCAACCGCGCCTCTCTTTTAGCTTCCCCATATAAAGTGTACGCTTATTTCTCTGTTGCCCAACGCACGCGAGGATCCTGAAATCTAAAATTGTTATGTTTTGCACAAAAATGACTTTAATTCGGGTGAGTAGCAAACGGGAGGCAACTACTATCCCTTGACCGTTTAGAATAAGCGCGGAAGTTTATAATTTCCGGTTCAGTGAAACGAAATTGAATGCCGATGAACGTGTCCACCTCATTGGTATGCTTTAGTTTCTTTTTATGAGAAAGCCCCAGTACGAGCGGAAAATTGGAATGCGATAGGGTATTTTTAAAACTACGCAGTCTAGTCCGTACAGAAACGACTGTAGTGATCACGAGTGGGATACTACTCCTTTATATTGTATTTACCGGGAAAAGGCATAGCAATCTGTTGCCGCTTGAATTACCATTCTGTTCTGATAGGAATGGAACCCCGCAACGAAAAGGAAACAGAGTGAGTAGCGGGGACGAAGAACAAAGTGATTTCTTGCTTAAACTAACCAAAAGTTCTGGATTTCTGCCAAATTGGATCGTTATCCGTAGTCACCCAATTATGCCATCAAAGAAGCAGGTGTTGAATCATTTATCCAGGTGAAATGGTTGATGTTTGCTCCCTATTAAGGGTGTGAGGACGAAGAGCAGAAGAATTACCGCCTATTCGGCTCTTCAATATGAATAATGAATCGTTTCTTGGCTGAGTAATATCAAGATATAATCACTTTGCCCAGATAAACTGTACACGATTTTCCTTTCCTCCTCTCTTTCCTGTTGCAAATAAAATCAAGTACAATGGATGACAAATTTTGATGTGATTCATAAAAGCTTTATTTTGGTTGTATCTAACAACACACAGTGATAATCTTCAACAATAATCCTATCAATAAAGAAATTTTTATAATATTATAGCAATATTGCAACTCATTGCTAAATTCAAAATTCACTGAACATTTTGCTCTCGACGAACTAAATTAGAAATGCCCGATGTTGTACTCCTCGTGATCAATCCTCTCTGACTTACTCATAGACTGGCAATGTTGGTCTTTTATGCTAATAGTCAAAACAAAGAGTATTTGTTTATGAAAATTAATCCTATTGCATCGCTGAGGTTAGTTTTGTGGTATAAAGGAAGTTAGTAGTAGGCAAACGATATTGATTTAAAACTACATGTCACCACATGTCATCATGTCACGCTAGCTAGACAAATGATCAATAGATCAATTATGCGCGTCCCCCCTCCCGGCCTACGGTTCCCTATTGAACTATCCAACATGTTGGACACCGATTCCACCTAGTGTAACCTTTGGTTTAACAGCTGTTCACTGCGAATCTGACAATGAATGGTAATTGATTGTAAGCCGATTCATTTCACTTGTAAGCATATTAAACGGGTGCTCAATGCCGTGGAAATAAGGGGGGGGATGATACAACCTTCCTTCGTGAAGTTCTGCAACGGTCTCAAAGGTCTCACAGTTAATGACTGATGAAAATCAACTTTTACCTATAGGAGTTCAATCACTCATGATACGGTGCATTGTCCTGTAAAGTAACTCATTTTTCTGTAAACCCCAGTTACGCACAAAATGTCCGCTAAGATTATAACAAACGTCATGCTCCGTAGGGGTAAGGCGTACTACAACAGACCTGCGTAACAGGCCATTGAACCGAATTCCATAAGCGAATCAGCTGAAAATCCTCCTATCGTGCTTCGTGTTTCGTGGACGAAGATTTTGCCAGGTAAAAATGAGTTCCTCTCTAATCACTTTTCTCATTCCATAAGTCATCCTAATCACTGATCATTGCCATGCCAACCTAATAGTGTTAATCCTTTACCACCTTTGAATTGTAGTGACCTAATAAACCTAATGCATAAACCTAAATCGCGTTCAGTTGACCTACAATACCCCAGCTGCGAATGGCGATTTTATTGGGTTGATCAATTAGTTCCTGTGCATCTATATGCACCGATTACCTTCAGTGTCTTCCCGGTTGTTCGCATTGAACACACTTGTATCACTAATAATTAGCCTAGCTATCTAAACAAATGTTTTGGAAAAACACTTTTACGTTTGTTTACGATCCACGACTCCCCTCCTTACTGGGTCATCTCCAAGTTCCTAATCACGACAGATTCGTTCTCGAATAAATTAACCTAATCAGGTCATCAGCAAGTGGTACATGCACGTGATCGAGATTTTTCACTTTACAGTTCAATTTGGACCACAATAATCTTTCAGGCCTATCACCATCATTGTTTCTTGGTGTTTCGTTGCACCTAACGTATATCGCCCTCTCGGGGTGAAGGAAACAACGACCTATCTCTGGTGATGACGTCTGATTCAACATGAATCGGTTATCTGATCAACCAGGGTGTGGTTTGGTCAGCACAGCGGTAGCGAGTGCAATTTTCGTGCGAACGATCCTACGTTCTAGTATCGGGTGGAAAGGTTTATTCGCATTATTCATGATGACTAACGAGATCAAAACTTCGATCTATATAGTAATTCCCAACTGGATGAATTAAGGATTGTACACGGAAGATGAGGGTGAAGGGTGATCCGTCAATGAAAAAAATGCACAAATTGCTCAGTCTGATTCTCATATCGAGCGTGCTTCTGTAAAGTATCCTAGAAAGTCGAATCTCCCGCCTAACCGCATGTTTCCCTTTTCCTCTTATCTTGCAGATTCGAGGGACCCCGCCCCCCAGGAGAACACAAATATCGACAACCAAGAGTAGAACGAAGACACGTGAAGTTGGGTTGTTTTGATCGGTCTTCTGTTTTTCGGTACCTTCTTCTTCCTGTGTGATGGTTGACTTTCCTGGTGCCCTTCGTTGCCCAGCTGTTATTGTGCCCCGAATGTCCTATTCGCATCCCTGGATTATTTTAATATAATTGTTCTTCATGTTGATACTGCATTCTCCCTTGGGATAATTTTGCCTGACTGTGAACCTTGTGTGATTCCTGTGCTTGCCTCGTGGAATAGACCGTGCCGAAGTTCATGTGATTATCATTACCCTGCGTAACCCATTTCATTGCAGGGCCTTGCGGAATTATTTACTCCTCCACGACTGTGTTGCTTATTCCCGGACTAATTGACTACGGAATATTACATTTCTGGCAACCCTGCCAGGATTCGTCATGCCGAAGAAAAGTGACTCTGAGAAATCGCAAGAGGAAGACCCTACAGTGGGTTTTGGAACCCTCGGAACTATGGTATTCCAACTTCTCGCCTTGTTGTCCTCTGTAGTCCGAGGTGGACAGGTACACAGGCAACCCTCCCCGAGCTTTCCCCCATCAAACAAATTCTCATTGGGCGACGATTCCCGGCGCTGGGCGGCAGATGCACAAGAGTATGTTGAGCTTTTCATCCCGAGCGATCGGCGGCGTGTATTGTTCTCACTTTTGGAAGGTGAAGCCAAAGAGCATGAAGCGTTCAAGGAGCTACGGGAGCGACTATGCACTACACCCATTCCCGGGCTAATTGACTACGGAATATTACAGTTCCATGAAATGCGCCGAGTATCATTATTGGTGAACACGAGAAACACTGAAGTGTGTGATAAGGACATGAGGACAATGATATTTCTTGAACAGTAAGCACAAATGTTATTTAAAAAGATGCCGAATAACACATCAGTTAGTCATATATGATACAATTTTACTTCAAAGAGAGAAAGGGGAACGGTAAATGAAAATCAGATGGTTCCGTGACATAGGCTTTCTTTCATTAGGGCTCATATTACACGTTCAGTTTTCGTGACAAGCAAATTGTAATTTATCAGCGATCACGTTCCTCCCTGAGTTAAAAAACAGCGATTTGCATAGAAAAAAGGAGAGGTATCGTGAAATAAATTCATCCGGTTCACTTTGAAAGATCTTCTCGAAACCTCAGTTAAATCTCTTGGGGTCAGCATGAGCACCGCTTGTTGTCCTACATTCGGTAGCGTGCTGGTGAATAAAGTCGGCGATTTTTTTCATATCCGTAAACGAAGAAAATCTAGAGTTTCTCTTTCAAACAAATGACTTTTCAATGAGTGCTTCCAGTCTCACTGCACTGCTCCAGGCTTGTTTTTACAGGTTTCATCAAAATAGCTTTCAAGACTAAGACGTAGATTACTCATTATTGGCGGCGCACGTTTCACTACCTTTTCAGCCGCTGTCGTCACAGTTTGAAATTAACGCATTATTGTATGCACTTAAAATTCTAGCAGACCATAAATACATTTATGTGTATACATTTAACCAATCTTTATCGATGCGGGGACAAAATAACCGTGAACTCGATGAGAAATAGACAAGTAGAACAAAAGAAAAACACTAAAACAATCAGTTTCTAGTGGAAGATAACAACATAGTTTGTTTGACTATTTTGTCTCACTTCCGGGACATGAAAAGGTGCATTTACCTTACTGACTCCGGTTCGATGGCACATCTCACACTGTCTCCAGCCGACTTCACTCCGAATCTTTGGGGCCCCAATCGGGAAGCCTCGATGGAAGCCAGATCCGAACAAAATTTTTTCAACTTTCTGCACGGTGACATGCATCGCTTATCTCGTTGGTTCTTCAGGTCCAGCTCCATTTCCGCAAATAGCACACAGTAGGGTACACGCTTTTCAGACATTCTTTGGGCATGCCCCAACCCACTCAGACGGGTGCGATGAAAAGATTGCGCCCAGTGCAAGATTTTCTGATCCTGACGCACGTCATCTCACCTGATTGTTACTCACTCGATGCGAGGGGGATGTGGAGTAGACAACAACAATTGTCATTGAAAATGGTCATCTCGAAGAGGTCGAGTGTCGCAACCGTAGAGCCAAGCGGCATGTACCGTTGCGCGACATCTCACTCTGGTACCAGAGATTTCACAGATTAGCAAACGTTAGCCTTACTTAGATTACACTTTGGCAGATATTCTCTCTCAANCCCCCCCAGCCGTTATACAAATACAGGGGTAAAAATGTTCTCGTCGACGTTCAGGGTGTCATTACCCAATGAAATTCCAGAAGCAGGTTCCTGCCAATCCTGCAGCAACACTCTGCACTTTAAGAGTGAAAGGGACGCCATACTGAGCAGCCTCAATTTCCAGGCGATTCAACGTGTTTTGAATGAAGAATGAATTTTCACCGAGTGAGACAATATCATCAGCATACTGTAAGTATAAGACTCCATCTCCGATAAGAAACCCAATGCCAGTGTTCGTTACTTTAAGTACCGCTATTGCACACATCTAAGGCAAATCTGGAGGAGAAGGGAGAGATTGGTTAATATTATCTTACCCCACCGGTAATAGGAAGCGCGGATGAGAGTGCACCATAAACCCCAAACTTCCCCAAGGTCTGATGGTAGAAAGGTTTTAGAAGCAGGACTTCTGAGGTACTCTTTGTCTCAGAAAACAAGTCCACACGGTAGGGTGTTGAATGCAATCGAATGCCACTCTGATGTCCAAATTAGCAAGAATTTAGTTGCTTGACATCTGAAAGCTAAACAGAAACGAGTTATTACACAAACAGGAAATCGCTTCAGGCGAAAAAATTCACTAACGAATATTCCACCATCATGGTTTAACAATACAGAACAAGTTGCCATAAGAAAGTGGAAATAACACGAACGAAACTGTTCAGAAGGAAGTCACGCAACTAGTTAACTTGGGCTAAGTAAAAGATTCTTTGCAACTGTAGGACGCACTGGCTATGCATGCACCTGATTACCGGTTCAATACATCTCGTGATCGCTCCAATCCTTGAAACGGTGAGTTCACTCAAACATCATATTTTCTTTTGTGAACAGAATATTGAGGTTAAGTATTTCGTGATCACTGCTTTTTACTGTTGCACAATGACGAAGATAAATCACTCTGGACAGGCAGATTGATCGACTGTCAGGTTAATAAGAGGAGCTCGGAATTGTACAGACCAATCCCCGAATAATGCGACTTTCGGATGACAACGTGTGAATTAGCAGTACGGTTAGTTTCACAAGAAAAGTTACAACGGTAAATGCTAGGCTCTAGTTTATCCAGTCCTTATTTCCGTGAGGTTTGCCATCTAGGTGTCCAGTGGGTTGGCAATTGATGGCGGTCATCCAATAGTTTTGAAATTTATTGATTTACCTGATCACTTGACTTGACTGAACTTTGAAAATTGATTGTGGTGAATGAGTAACAGACCGGTTTAGGCACTTTATTCATTTCACTTAACTCCTTAATAATCATGTCCAATTCGCTAGCTTGAAGGGTTAAGCAAATCACAAAATGATAAGGGATAGAACATTTTCAGTTATGATCGTATCAAAGAGTATGTCATGGGGATCAAACCCTTCAACGTACTATCACACTGACCCGAAGGTGGTATGTTCAAATCCCACCACAACCCACATTACCTATAGCTTGCATCATCTACCAGATTGCCTCTGAACACTGTCCAGCTTTTGGTAAGCCTGGTTTTATCACTCTCTCCATCATTTTACTTCCTTTTTATTGAATATCTAGTAATACAATTTCCAGGAAGGGGGAAGAGACCAATCAAAGGGCTGCCATGGGGAAAGTCAGGTGGTGGTGGTGTGGTTCGAACACACGTCCCCTGAGGTAGTAATTTGATGACGTTACCACCGGGCCACCGTCTGTTTATTGTCACCGTCTCAGTAGCGCGTTATCTAACTGTATTTTTATCTGTTCCACCCAGTTCGAGCAAACATCATCAAGCACATAGAAAAGCATACAACTCCTCCCTAATGTTTCGTCTACTATTTGTCGCCCGGACCGTAGGTTTCGTGATTTACCCGCAAAAATAAGTTACCTGCATGCTTGTAATCGAATCGATGAATTCTCCATTTTTCATGTTACACACATGGTTTATTAAGGCAATTTCTTGACTTGACTTATCTCGTGCAAATACTCTCAGGGAACTGTTCGAAATTACCGTATTTTTCTCCTTCTATGTGTTTTAGAACACATCCGCTTTGCGTAACGTTTTTCTCCCAGTGCCCATGAGAGGCCTTATTGAAATGTATTTAAAAGATGACCAGTGAATACGATAGAATCCGACTAATTTGGTACATTCACCTGAACGACTATTTACCGCATTTGCTTCAGAAAGTCTTACTTGGACTCATAAATAAAGATACGTCCAGATCATGGACAGGTGTTCCCGGTGATTTCGTATACCATTGAAAATTAGCACCGAGGCAATGACTGAACAAGAGGGATGGCGAGCGAGTTCATTCTCTATCAGATCCAACTTTCGGAGGAATTGGTTTAGCGTCAAATAACAGGAATGTCAGAAACAGTTTCTACCTCACTGTTGATATAATCTGACCAC